AATCCTAGTAGCCTCAACTGGAACCTCATAAGGTTCCTGAAACAACTCTCTAACTCTGACACTATCCCCCGTCAATTAGGAAATCGTCCCGATTTTCAATCAAATCGTTGAACGACTCCAATAGGGAGGACCTTAGCGGTTGTTTAACATTTCGCATGAAAAATGCAAGTTGCATGGTACTTGCATGGCCGGGGTGACAATCCCGCCAAAACAACGATAATACTTTTTCTTCAGCGTTATACCCAGCTATGCCAACAATTTCATTGATTCGAGCTCTAGCCTCGGCTTCAGTTCTTGGGGGAACCTTCGGATACCGAGGATCTCTCTCCACAAACGGTTTGAAGCGCAGCACGTTAATCACTCGGTGCTGCTTTGTCATTTCTGGGAGATCGACCTCAAAAGCGTTGTCACCCATCTGCTTGACAAGCATATATGGTCCAAAATACACTGGGTGAACCTTGGGATACTCTTTCGCTGTAGTATACGCCTCGCGGTGAAGGAGAACCCAATCGCCCTTCTGATACCTGTGTTCACTGCGATGTTGGTTTGTTCCTTTCTCCTGCTTTCGTTGAGCATCCACGAGATATTCCTGAGTACGCAATACAATGGCTTGCATCTGGGTACCAACACTTTCAGCGGCATGAGAATATATCTCTCCCCTTGGTTTTTCAAAGTGAGGTGCCACCGGATGCCGGCCAAGATCCGCAAAGAACGGCGAGGTCTGTATAGACAGCTGGATCGTTGCGTTGTATGCGAACTCCATCATTGGCAAATATCTTGCCCAGGCTCCATGATTTTCTTGAACGTACGCACGTACAAGCTGGTTCACAACACCATTAACTCTCTCAGTATTTCCATCGGTCTGAGGGTGGTTGGCAGTTGACATCTTCAACTGTGCACCTAACATGTGCTGTAAATGTCTCCAAAACTGACTCGTGAACCGTGGGTCACGATCAGATACGATACTTTCCGGCATACCGTGTAGCCGTACAATCTCTCGTAAAAATAATTCAGCACTTCCCTGTGCCGTGATCGTCTTTGCACACGGGAGGAAGTGAGCACGCTTGGTCAAGCGGTCCACCACGATCAACATCGCATCGTACCCTTCAATGGTACGCGGAAGCGCGGTAATAAAATCCATTGACACCGACAGCCATCTTTCTGATGGAATCGGAAGAGGTTGTAATAGTCCTTGGGTCGCTTGAGTGTAGTGCTTCACTTTCTGACACGTGAGGCAACTCTTCACATACCGATTCACTTGTTTGAAAGCGTTGGGCCAATAGTAAGAGTGTGACAACGCAACGTACGTTTTGAACACTCCAAAGTGACCAGCAGTAAGCGGGTCATGGCACATAGCTACCAACTGCTTCCTCCAAGGACCCTCTGGTACACATAACCGTGAGTCTTCTCCGTCAAACGATGCTGTCATGTTAAAATACAACAATCCGTCACGTACTTCAAAACGCCGGATATGCTTATGGATTGCCTTCGGCACATCTTTGTTGTGTAACAACACATCATGAATTTCTCGGAAATTCATGTCGGTCTGGTAGGCTTTCTTGATTTCGTCATAGAACAGCTCACCTAATCCATTCACGCTCACCCGCGTTAACAGATTAACTTCCATCCGACTCAAGGCATCAGCAGCCCCGTTCTTTCCTCCAGGTAAGTACAGAATCTCAAAGTCAAAATCCGAAAGAAAATCAAGCCATCTGGCAATGCGTCCGGAAGGAGCACGCTTCTGGGTCAACAAGTATTGTAACGAGTTGTGGTCTGTCCGGATCATAATCGGACGTCCCAGCAAAAGGTGCTTGTATTTTTTCAACGTTTCAACAATGGCTAAGCACTCTTTCTCCCGCACGTCATAGTTCTTCTGTGCTGGAAGGTAGCTCCGACTGAAGTAGGCTACTACACCAAGTCGTTTCTTTGTCACGAGATCAATCTGCTCGATCACAGCACCCATTCCGAGGTCCGACGCATCCGTCGTCACGAGGAACTGATGCTGGTCCAGCGGCGACATTAATACAGGCGCATCCACTAACATGGTCTTCAACTTTTCAAAGGCCACAGCCTGTGAGTCACCCCAGTCACATTTCTGACTGGCAAAATCATTGAGGGGACGAGCAATATTAGAGAAGTTCTTAATAAACTTTCGGTAGTAGTTTGCGAGACCAAGGAAACGTTGCGCGTCCTTGAATGTCGCAAGTACCGGCCAGTCTTTTATCACTGTGAGCTTCGATGGGTCTGGTTTCACGCCATCCTGGGTGAGGACATGACCCAAGAACTCAATTTCTTGTCGGAAGAATTCACACTTCGATTCTTTCACCACTAGTCCCTTCGAGCTCAACAACCGGAACACCTTCCGAAGGTCTTCCCGGTGTTGCTCAGGCGTCTCACTGTAGATGAGGATATCATCCAAGTAGACCACTACACACACACCTAGCAATGGTGCGAGCAAGTTATTCATAATCCTCTGGAAGGTGGACGGCGCATTACACAACCCGAACGGCATCACCGTCCACTCGAACAATCCATTGCGCGTAACGAACGCTGACTTGTGTCGGTCGTCCGGATGAATCGGAATCTGATGGTATCCCTGTACCAAGTCAAGCTTCGAATAATACTTCAGCGCACCTACCTCGTCTAGTAGGTCTTCAATAATCGGCAACGGAAACCTATCCTTGATAGTGACCGCATTTAACGCCCGATAATCCACACAAAGTCTGAGCGTGCCATCCTTCTTTTTGACAAAGAGAATCGGCGAACTGAACGGACTCAGACTTGGTCGAATAAAACCTTTAGCTAGAAGGTCTAGCATTTGTTTCTTCAACGCTTCTTGTTCTTGAAGGGTTAAGCGGTACGGCGCTCGTGCCGGTGGTCTCGCATCGGGAACCAATTCAATCCGATGCAGAAGCCCTTCAAGTCTCGCCTCCTTCTGGGGCGGCTCCAGAGACAATGTGTCTGGAAACTCAGTTCTCAACTGTTCCAACCACTCTATATCGTCCTGGTCCGGCACTCCACACGTGCCGGGGGTCTTTTGTACCACAGAGACCCATCCATACTCGTCGGCGTCCCGTAATTCGAGCTGGATCTGGTTAAGCTCTACTAGCTTAACTGGGGGCACATCCACTGAATCTCTAAGCCGTCTGGCTTTGATATCGACGAGATCCATGTGCTCCTCCACAAAGGGCATTCCAAGAATCGCTGGGTGCAGAACGTTATTGCTGACGAACATAACCACTGGTTCTGGAACCCCGGACAAGTGTCTTGTAACATGCTTGTCCACAGTCACTGTACCGTTTCCGAATGGGCCGCGGAGACCAAACGGGGTATGTTTTCTTAGTTCATTCGGCTGAACCAAGTTCTCATGGATGAGGTTCACATCGGCGCCAGTATCCACAAGCGCCTTTACAGGCCTTGGGTCTTCTTTGAACGTGACTTCAACTTCCAAAGCACGCTTAGTGTGCTTTGCGACATTGAACTCCGACGCTTCCCTTCTCGGCGTCTCGTCTCCTTTTGTAATTGAGTACTTTTTTTTGGATTTTTGTGTTTTCTGGACAGTAGTTATAGAAAAATCAGCTGTAGATAAAGGATAAAAAGGGTTTGACAAAAATGGTGTGCGGGGACCCGGTTGCTTAATCAGCGGTTTAACGTCTCCACGGGTATAGGGCGACGACCCTAATTTTTTGGACGTTCCACGTTGGAGCAGTCACGGGCATAGTGTCCGTACTGCCCACACGCAAAACAGGTGTGTTTGGCCGTGGCGTTAGAGGATCCCTCATAACGGTGTTGCACGCTGTTCACCGAGTGGTTCGTCTGTGGCCAAGCGTTCCATTTACGGTCGGTTCTCTTCCTAAACGCGTTGGCACCACTAGGATAGCTTCTTGCGGGATGCTTCGTGCCCCTTGGTTCCGGGGGCATAGTCCAATTGAGCTCATCAAGAACGATCAAGTGTTGCGTAAGCTCTTCGAAGTTCCTTCCACCTGCCATGTAGGCATGTTGCTTCATTTGAGGTTTGAGGCCACACACAAAATGATCAAGCGCCACAGCTTGGTAGGCTGATGGAAGTTGGTTGAGAAGATAGGAAAATCTCTCAATGTAAGCCCGAACCGAACCAGTCTGCCTGAGGTCACTATAGTCCTGGCGACACTTCTGGTCATGGTCTGGCGGGTAAAATTGCTTCCGGAGCTCTTTTTTGAGCGCATCGTATTCTAAGAACTCGGCACCACCGATTCTGCCGAGGTAGAGGGCTAACCACTTACCAGCCTCACCATCCAAACGGGTGGCTAAGTATTGGGCCTTACCAAGGGAGTCCTCACTGGACTTCACAAAGGCTGTGTCCACCTTGGCCAAGAATCCGTCAATCACAGTGGCATCCTTCTCACCTTTATAAGAGGTGATCTTCAAAAGTCTGTCAGGTCTCTGGTAGTCCAGGGAAAAAGGCGCAGCGCTACCAAATGTCAGGGTTCCAGCGCCTGTTGGTATTCCAGTCGGGGGG